TAACACATGATATAATGGTTTTGAGATCTGCTCCTGCCTTGATAACACATGATATAATGGTTGTGAGATCTGCTCCTGCCTTGATAACACATGATATAATGGTTGTGAACTCTGCTCCTACCTTAATAACACATGATATAATGGTTTTGAACCCTGCTCCTGCCTTGATAACACATGATGTAATGGTTGTGAACTCTGCTCCTACCTTGATAACACATGATGTAATGGTTGTGAACTCTGCTCCTACCTTGATAACACATGATGTAATGGTTGTGAACTCTGCTCCTGCCTTGATAACACATTATGTAATGGTTGTGAACTCTGCTCCTGCCTTGATAACACATTATGTAATGGTTGTGAACCCTGCTCCTGCCTTGATAACACATGATATAATGGTTGTGAACTCTGCATGTAAGTCTGTTGAAACTAGAAAGTTTTGTGATACTGATTATATCACAGAATGTTTCAATGTTTCATTCAGTCGTGTAATGAAACCTTTTAAATAGACTGAACACAGAAATGTTTAGAGAATGTGGAATAAAAGAATGTACCTAGTTTCTGTAAATGGAGAAGTCTTATGATACTTTGGATGTGTGAAAATAAAACACTCTGGTGATGTTGTGTAGTTCAGGTTTATGAAAAATGGTTAATAAGCCTTTGCTATTTCCAGGCTTCTCAAAACCCTTTGCATGTATATCAAAATTTTGAATGTTACTCTTTTTCAGACGGCACTGAGTCAGCTTGTGATGGCCAGACAACAGCTACAAACTGCTATTCAAGGCTGTGTCGAAGCCACTACCTCTCTGAGTCGTCCGTCCAGTCCTGAGGATGCTATTGTTTCACCCTTGCCAGAGAGAGAGACTCAAATCAAGATTCGTCTACAGGATTTCATTGAACAGGTGAAGTTGTTTTCAACACTGTTGTAACAAGAGTAGCTTTCTTTACACTAAAATGGTTAATTTGCTTTTTCAAAATTTTCTTCCATCTTTAGAAGCTACATACAGTTGAAAAAAGCAATATTTATCTCTTTGTTCATCAATCTATCAGTTCATCATTTTCAGAATGTAGTACATTGTGTTAATCCATGATATTACTCATTTGATATTTAAAAACAGTTCATTTTCATAATGTAGTACACCGTGCTTATCCATGATATTACTCATTTGATATTTAAAAACAGTTCATTTTCAGAATGTAGTACACTGTGCTTATCCATGATATTACTTATTTGATATTTAAAAACAGTTCATTTTCAGGATGTAGTACACTGTGTCAATTCATGATTTTATTTATTTGATATTTAAAAACAGTTCATTTTCAGGATGTAGTACACTGTATCAATTCATGATTTTACTTATTTGATATTTAAAAACAGTTCATTTTCAGGATGTAGTACACTGTGTCAATTCATGATTTTACTTATTTGATATTTCAAAAACTCGTTCTTTTTGTTGTGCATACATTACATGAATCTTAGGCTGAATCACGCATAGTGGCTATCAACAACATTGTCCATGAATGGGAGGCTGTGACACAGTTAAAGGAAACAGTAGAGCACTGGGTTGCTGACCAGAAGGTGACAGTCTCCACCCTAGAGTCTGGACTTGTGGTTATGGAACCAGAGGTGCTTCAGCATCAACTGAATGATTTAGAGGTATACCTTATTACCAGTCATCAGTCGTGACAAACATACAGTTGATAAGATAATGTTAGCATCAATATAATGTGTAACTACATTAAATAATATATTATCTATTGTAACAGTTCACAAAATAAACTTTTTTCATAAGAAATAAAAAGCCCATTTTAAAACTAATGTTTTTTTACTTATTATTCACAGAACATGAAACAAGAGTTGGAGGAGAAACTTTCAGCTGTTCAAAAAATTGAACAGAAAGAACAGAGCACTCTACCAAACACTGCTCATACAGTCCTGAAGGAAAAGCTAAAATGTTTGGAAGACCAGGTGTGTTTTAAAGTCACTTTCTATTATAATAGTTAAGCAGAAAGAACACAACACTCAGTCAAACACTGCTCATTCAGTCCTGAAAGAAAAGCTAAAACGTTGGGAAGACCAGGTGTGTTTTAAAGTCACTTTCTATTATAATAGTTAAGCAGAAAGAACACAACACTCAGTCAAACACTGCTCATTCAGTCCTGAAGGAAAAGCTAAAACGTTTGGAAGACCAAATAAGTGTATATGGCAGCCGAGATGTATTAATAACATAAACGTTAAAGACAAGATTTGTATTCACCATCTAGTCAGTCATTTTAAATCATCAATGGACATTCATGTGTATATTATAAACATAAAAGTTAAATTTTAATTCTAATATGATATCTCCTCTCACAAAAAGCAATTTTTCGCTTGCCACTAACCTTGATACTCCCACATATTACTGCATACTAACATGCAAGTGATTATGCAGCAACCCTCCACCAATAAGAGTGCAACACTACCCCTATCATAACTAATCTTCTCTAATCTTGCAACTGTTAACCTCTTCTCGATTGGCAGTCTTATTTAATAGATATGTTTTTGCTCACAGTTTGATTCATTTATCCACATGTTTTTACTTTCTTAACTTTTCTACTTTAATTACATTGTTCTTTGCCATTTTCATTCTCTTTTGTGAAGAGTTATGAATTATTGTATTTATCTTCTCTCCTCTTTAAATTTCGTGAGTTGTGCACTTGCAGTCTTAGGTGGTCACGACTGCAACTGCTGCAGTGAAATTACTGCCCATGTTCAATGGGTTGGAACCATGATTCTTGGCCCATGAAGTGATGGCTCTGCTCAGTCGGGAATGACCAATTTCATGCAACAAACAGAACATACTGATGATTGTTGTATCAGTGATCGGGAACTTTTGGATTTAGACAGCCTTTTTCCCCCTCCTGAATATGCCTCACAGTCATGTGTTGTTTTGGGGGACTTGCCCACACCTCTTTCCCCTTTGGTGGATTTGATTATTCAGGAATGTTATGTTCTGTACTTATCTCCCATTCCTATGTTCCACCCCTTCTCTTTTTAGGGACTAGACTTTGGGTCATTGTTTTAGTGTTTTCTCCTTCCCTGGATACTGGGGTTCATGCAAATCATTTTGGGGAGCACTTGCATTCAGGGGTCAGTATGCCTCCACCCCTAAGTACTGTGGATAATCATGCTTTTTTGATTATCATCATTCCAACTTCCCTTATTTGGACTCGCAGTGTTTGGTGTCACTTTTCCCTTAGTGGGGATCAGACCCCGATAATTCGATTACCTTTTCCCTTATTTGTCTTACCCTGATCACCCTTCTCAAGTGAGGGCTGGTGGGAGTCGGATTTCTTTAATTTACCCACGTTCGGAGGTGTCCTTGGTGGTCGATCCATGGGTTCTGAAAGCTGTTTTAGTAAGTCTGGTCCTCTACTTCCATTCATCTCTCCCATTGTCTCACAATCCTGTTTCCTTCCCCATTTGTTGCCCACCTGATTAATTCCAGGGGCCTTCATTTCCTCTGCTCTATGGATGTGTGGCTGATTCTTGCCTCCTCACAAGATGACTCAGTCCTACATCCTCTGTTTATTCTCCATGACACTGTCATGGTGGATTGGCTTGTCACAGTGGAACAATGTTTCCTCCACCCACACAATTTTTGGTTCATCTCGGGGTGTTTTTCAACTCCCTCCTCCTTCAGGCCCTACCTACTCTACTTCAGTTGCAAGCTATGGAATGTCTCATATACAGCATATCATTCTCTCCTTCTTCTAATGTGTGAGAGGTTTTCTCTCCTTTTCTCTCAAAGCCTTCATTCCTCTTGGTCACACCCTCATGCGACATGATCAGTGTGTTATGATAAACCAACAGAGCCTTGTTTGGCTTACCCTCTCTTACAAACTAATTTCGACTGGTGGTTGGATCAGAACTGATGGTGTTCCTCTTCCTCCTCCTCACCCAGAATGTCACCTTTTATGATGCTTCATTCTCTAGTGAGGGGATGTATCTCGACAATGAGGAGGTTTTGGGGGTATGATATCATTCCGAGTCTTTTCTCCATATCAATCTTGGTACTTCTTGCTGTTCATTAGGCTTTCCTTCCCTTCCTGTAGGCTCCTAGAGGCTGTTTGGTGATGATTCACTCTGATGTTTCTATGGTAGTCTCTTATATCACTAGGCAAGGAACACTCGTTTTGACAAACCTGTTTTCTCATATTGAATCTTCTGTGTTGGACCCACTACCATTCCATCACTTTGTTGGAATATCATAATCTAGGTGTCCTGAATCTGGTCATGGATCATTTATCCCATTCCAACAAGATTCTTTCTGCAGTGTAGTCTTCGGATCTACCTGTTTAGTGGGTTTTGTGAGCTCTGTGGAGTGTCCTAGCCTTGGATGCTTTTGCCACTCTTCTCAATACACCACTTCCCCGATTTTGGTCACCTGTTCCTCATCCTTTGGTAGGAGCAGTCGATGTTCTCAGTTGGTATTGGTACCAATATGCATATCCTCATATTCATCTCCTTCCACATGTCCTTGCCATACTTCAGACCACTCCGTATAGCATTCTGCTGCTGGTTATGTAATAGCTGGCTCACACGTGATTTCCCCTGCTGCGCTGATTTTTGGTGTCACCTCCCTTTCTCTTCCTTTATCTCTGACACTGCTCTGTCAGCCACACTCTAATGTGTGTAATACATCTGTACCTGCACTCCATATTCATGTGTGGCTTTGTCCAGTCCTTTACCTGAAGAGCCGGATTTTCGTGTGTAGCTTCCTTTATTTTCCATCCTGTTCTTTCTTCCTTCATGGCGATTTACCTAAATACATGGTACATCTACCACTTTTGGTATTTCCTAAGGGGTTATAGTCCTTCCCATCCTATGGTTCCTCACATACCATCTTTTTTGACTTGGCTTTTTTTATTTCTTGTGGTTTGGGCTATAGAGTGACATTATCTGCCACTTTTCAGTTTCCCGACTTTGCTTGTGTTTTCCAGTTGCCAGCATTATTCATGTTGTTTTATTCCTTCCATTTTCTCCATCCTCCCTGCTCTGCTTCTCTTCCAGATTAGCACCTCAATGTGATCCTCCATGTTTTCCCTGCCCTTCATTGGTCCTTTTATATTCATGTTCTTTAAATCATCTTTCCTTTAAGTCCCTGTTCCTCATTGTTCCTATACTGAAATATTTTCAATTGCTCATGAGAGCACTTCTCCTTCATTCTTTTTTCCCTTCCCTCTTTCCCCACCTTTATGACCATTCCAATTCCAACTGCCTTCTTTGCCCAGTAAGGTCTCTTCAGTGGTATATGACATGCTGTACTGCTCCCTTCCATGGTTCCTAAGTTTGTCTGTTTCTTCCTAGAAATCCTCACTTGTCCCATGACATTTTCCCCATTATCCTTCTGGGTTGAATTTGCCTGGCATTTTTCTTCCCTCCTCCTGATGATTATCACATTTTTCATGTTTTCTCCCCACCAGATCCATCACTTTACCATGTCCTTGGCTGCAATTTTGCATGTTCCCTTGGGGGACATCACCAGTACTGCACCTATTTATCTGTAGGTGGTAAGTACTCTGTTCTTTTTCCTTGCAGAGGCCTTTATCACATATTTGTATCCCACTCTGTTGCGAGTGTTGCCTGACCAGATATACTTAGATTGAAATCTACACTGTACGGCCTGTGATCACATACCATGCTAGATTACTGTGACATTGAGGCTTTTCCTATCATGGACCTAATGTACAATTCCAGGTGCTGCTAGGTGTTGGTTGATCGACTCCATCAGTGTGTCCTATATGCATCAAAATATAATATCATAACACATCAAAAGGTCATGTTCCACACACTGTTGAGATGGGATGCTCCGCAGGACTGCTTATAGGTATTTCTCATGGTCTGTTGCTTCATAAATATATTCATCCAAGACTGTACATTCAAGGATTACTGCCCATCTCTGATGACCTATGGTGTTGAGGCTCTTCCTACCACAGACCTGATGCAAAATTCCAGATGCTATCAGGTGTTGGTCGATCAACTCCACCAATGTGATTGCTGTACATTTCAAAATAGGGTATCGAGATTACCCATAGCACTGTCTCCAGTGCTGTGGTCCTATGGACTCTACAATGCTATTTTTTTCTCCCTTTTTCTAGTGGAGTATGGGAGTCCTTGCCACTTACCAGTTCCTAGTCACTGGAATGGTAGACCATAGAGGCATGTCCTCCTGAGTGTGCCCAATACCACTCAGTTGAGTGTACGGTGATGGCATTCTCCTGGTGTAGATGGTGTGACAGCCTTCCTACCATGGAACTCATGTATAATTCCAAATTTCGTCAGATGTTGGATTTAGCACTCCACCATATATTGCAACTTGCCTCTCCATCTGAGGTACTCTCCTTCTTACCATCCACTGGATTTTGGTTCTCAGGTATGAGGTGTTGGTTGAAGCTTAACCAGTCATATAAGTCCTCACGTGTTTGGATCGTACCCTTCTCCTACCACAGACGTGGACAATAAATTCCCAATGCCACCAGGTTTTGGACTGGTGATGCAACCCCAACTAGCAGTCCATCTTCCTACCATCTACTGGATGTCAGTTCCCAGTGGATCTGGTGTTGGTTATCTTGGAGGTAATTCCTGCATATATAAAGCTGGGTACCCTCTTCCTACTGCAGACTGGACAAAACATTCCCAATGCCACCAGATTTTGGACAGGAGAGGAACACCCACCTAGACTCCCCACCTTCCTACCATCTGCTGGATGTTAGTTCCCAGGGGATCTAGTGTTGGTTATCTTGGAGGTATATACATGAGGAGGTGGTTTCTTGGTACGGAACCTCCCCTTCTTTCCTGGTACCCATTTTTGAGATGAAAGGTAGAGGACCCTCTTCCTACCACAGACCTGATATACAATTCCAGATGCCACCTGGTGTTGGTTGAGGTCAAACTCCCATTTATGGTCTTTTGTGCTCTAGCCACTCCACATCAGGAGTTCCACTGTTTCTGTAATTGTTTCTTGTGATCTTTCCACGTTTCTGCTCTTTTTTAGCAACACAATACTAAAGGGCAAAGAGTATACTTGGCTCAGAAGTGGGGTGTTGTTTTTAAATTCCTTCTTACACCTCATGGTTTTCCTTTGAGTGCTTCCTAAAGAGGGGATCATCTTCTTACTGGCCCTCCACCAGTTCAGTGTAAGATTCAAGCTGTTTGTGAGTAGAGATAAGATATCATATTGGAATTTAACATTTTCATAAACTGAAAATGTATTTCCAATAGATACTTACCCCCCCCTCACATTTCCCACCTGTCCTCCCCACTTCCAGTGTGGTTTGGTGTGATCTCGAAGTAGTTAACAGCTGTAAGATTAGAGAGGAGTGCTAGTTACAATTCGATCTTAAAACATCCTTGCATTAGATAAATGCATTAACAGATAAATTGCAGTAATATTCTGTAAACATCATCAATTCGATCTTAAAACACCCTTGCATTAGATAAATGCATTAACAGATGAATTACAGTAATATTCTGTAAACATCATCAATTCGGCTTTAAAATACCCTTGCATTAGATAAATTACAGTAATATTCTGTAAACATTATCGATTCGATCTTAAAACACCCTTGCATTTGATAAATGCATTAACAGTTAAATTACAGTAGTATTCTATAGTGACAGTCATTGAATAATAATATTCTATACTCATCTTTAAAACATAAATAAAATGGAAAAATTACAAAAACAAGTGTGGAAAAAGGTTCATAATAATTGTAAATCTTATGTGTTGAATTATTGTTTTACAATTCTGTGAAGTATAAAACATAAGAAAATTGTTTAATTTTTTAAAATAAAGGTTGCTCAACTGATGATGAAGACAGATGCTAGAAAAGCTGCTATCAAACAGTTCAAAGATCTCATTGAAGAAGTTGAGGGTCGACTTGAGTTCATAAGCACTTCTCTAGAGTCTGCTGAAAAGCCAGAATCAGGGGACTCATTACAGCGACAAGAACTTCTTAAGGTGATTTTCTTAGGTCTCTATCTGCCAAGAAGATGTTTATGCTTCAGACCTGCTCTAAAACTCCACATTTCTGTCAATTTATATGCTCATCTTTACAACGTTTTACACTTTACATTTTAATCCTGTGCAATACTTCACATTCCTGTCATTTTCTTCATTCATCTATTCAACATTTTACAGTTTAGAATTTATAATACTTTACATTCCTGTCATTATTTTCAATCGTCTATTCAAAGTTTTACAGTTTAGAATTTAGTCCTGTTGTAATACTTCACATTCCGTTCAATGTCTTCATTCATATATTCAAAGTTTTACAGTTTAGTATTCAGTGCTATTGTAATACTTCACATGTCTCTGTGTGTCATCTATTCAACCCTGCTTTTCTATTAATTAATGTTTTGAAAGAGTTTTCTTTGTTTTGCAGCAACTTACAGAGGAAATAGAGAGAGCTAAAGGACAAATGGCAGAATTAAATACAAGTTTATCAGAAATCTGCAACTTTCTTGAGGAGGAAGAAAGAATCAAGCAAAAGGAACATTTAAAGTAAGTACTTATGGTGTGACCCTAATGTAATATAAGGAATGATAGTGTGACCCTAATGTAAAATAAGGAATAATGGTGTGACCCTAATTTCAAGTAAGGAATGATGGTGTGACCCTAATGTAAAGTAAGGAATAATGGTGTGACCCTAATGTAAAGTAAGGAATAATGGTGTGACCCTAATGTAAAGTAACTATAATGGTACACATGAACACCTGATTGTTGTGACCCTAATTTAAAGTAAGTAATATTGGTGCGACCCTTATTTAAATAAGGAATGATGGTCTGACCCTAATTTAATATTAGGAATAATGGTGTTTGTTACCACAAGAATGTAATGACATTTTTATTCATTTGCTTTTATAAGTGCAAATAATTTCAAGAAAATGTTTGCTGTATTCATATCACTAAAATATTATTATCATATTATTCCAGAACCCTTGAAAAGAAAGCCAATGATTTGCATAAGAGAGTGTTACGGCGTTTGGAGAGTTTGGACCTATTACGGGCAAATTATGGTAGTGTCCTAGAAGAACTATCAAAATTGCAAGAATGGGTTGAAGAGAAACTGGAAAAGTTACATCATTTATCACCTCCAGGCTTTCATACAGAATCCTTAGAGAAAAAGCTCCAGGAGGCTCATGTAAGTAATGAAACTATATCCAGGCTATCATACAGAATTCTTAGATAAGAAGCTCCAGGAGGCTCATGTAAGTAATGAAACTATATCCAGGCTGTCATACAGAATCCTTAGATAAGAAGCTCCAGGAGGCTCATGTAAGTAATGAAACTATATCCAGGCTATCATACAGAATTCTTAGAGAAAAAACTCCAGGAGGCTCATGTAAGTAATGAAACTATATCCAGGCTATCATACAGAATCCTTAGAGAAGAAGCTCCAGGAGGCTCATGTAAGTAATGAAACCATATCCAGGCTATCATACAGAATTCTTAGAGAAGAAGCTCCAGGAGGCTCATGTAAGTAATGAAACTAAATCCAGGCTATCATACAGAATCCTTAGATAAGAAGCTCCAGGAGGCTCATGTAAGTAATGAAACTACATTCAAGATTTCATCTTGAATCCTTAGAGAAGAAGCTCCAATAGGCTAATGTAAGTAATGTTTCACTCATTAGTGTTAGGCCTATTATATTCTATATATTACTAATGTCTTAGGAGAAGCATAATTAATTACAATGCTTCATCTTGGAAAAGGCATTTATACCTTAACAATGTTTCACTCAGTGTCAGTGGTTGTGAAAAACTTTTTTTCAGAATTGAGAAGTAGTCTTTTGTTGGGTCTTGTATTTTAAAAACGAAGAATTTTGATGAGGAATTGGTTTTAAAACATTGTCTCTGCCATACTAAGACAACTTGTGTACCAAATTCTCTCTCACATTCAAAGCTACTTTGGATAATATTCTCTACCTGGGTTGAATAGAGGTGCTACAACTCCAAACTGCAGTTTTTACCTGGTGATGATATGAATCATATTACTATATTATAGTTTTACCAGCATTCTGTTTTTCTTTATTTCACGTAACAAATTATAATATATTAAACACAGAGTCATAAAATGGGATGTTTTCTTAGCAATTTACAAAAAAAAGTGTGAAAAAAAAATCTTCCATTTCTTTATTATTCGTAGTCTCTCCGGAGAGAAACCGTCAACAAAGAAGTTGTGATTGAAACATCTGAAAAAAGAGTCGAGACTTTAATTCCTGAACTGGACAACAGAGATGCTGAAAATGTTAAGAAAATACTAAAAGAGCTGAAGCAAAAGTTTTCAGAGTTGAACAGTGCTGTGCAGTCTCACATTGACAAGTTAAATGATGTTATTGTGAAAAGCCAAGAGCTAGAGCTGGTGATTGAACAAGCTAAACAGTGGTTAAGAGAAAAGGAACAAGAACTGAGTCACATAGAGGTAGCCGGTGGAAGATCATCTGAGACTGATAAAACTATAGATCTGATAAAGGTAGTTCATAAACTTACATTATGTTAACCATCTTGTAGCAGCTACTTATAATTTATTTCAGTAGTTCATAAACTTACATTATGTTAACCATCTTGTAGCAGCTACTTATAATTTATTTCAGTAGTTCATAAACTTACATTATCTTAACCATCTTGTAGCAGCTACTTATAATTTATTTCAGTAGTTCATAAACTTACATTATCTTAACCATCTTGTAGCAGCTACTTATAATTTATTTCAGTAGTTCATAAACTTACATTATGTTAACCATCTTGTAGCAGCTACTTATAATTTATTTCAGTAGTTCATAAACTTACATTATGTTAACCATCTTGTAGCAGCTACTTATAATTTATTTCAGTTGGTCTTGATTTTATAGAAACTCACCTTTTTAGAATAAATGTATAGCCTTCTTTAAAGAAAAGTTAGGAATTTTTACTTTAAGTTCTGACT